AAGCTCATGCATCAGCATCAGCTTCATGTGCCGGTGCGAAATCCTCCGTTCCACAATCAGCGTGTTTTTGGTTAGAATTCGACTTGATTCATGAGTATGATTACGACTACGCATCTGCATCAACATATGATGCAGTGATTTGCATCGGTAGCGCGAGTTGCATCAAGGAAATTACTCAACAATCAGAGTAATTAATCGAGGATCACCTTGAATACTCAAATCACAAAATCATAGCTCAAGCATATGAGTAATTACTCAGAGTCAGCGGCTCAGTATCATTAATCGGAATCGATGGCTGATTTGCATCATGCATCAACAAGAGTGATAACACAGAATAGAGCTCAACACTTACGCCAGCTCAGATAACGAGGATTATACATGTCGCCATTAACCTGTTGAAAAAGTTAACCTGTCGATTAAGTTCACATGTTTATAAAGTTAATATGTTTTTAAAGTTCGCCCTTGATTGAAGTTCAGTCGTTGGTTAAGTTGACCCGTTGATAAAGACTTTATCATAAAGTTCACCTGTTGATGAAGTTAACCCGTTGTTAAAAGTCCTTTAATAAAAAAACAACGTTGACAAAACCCCACTGTTGGTATTACACTGGTGACATTCACAATGGACAGTTGATTTTTGCACCGTTACCTGTTGGAAATTGTCACTGTCTGTTGGTTTTGTCCCAACCCAGTCGTTGCAAATGTACCCTGTTGGTTTTGTTACACCCCTGTTTCTTTTATACGCAAAAACATTGGCAAGGTTCACAATTAGTCGGTTATTGCACTATGTTGTGATTCAAGCCTGTTGTTTTTGTTCACTCGTCCGTCACCAATACCGAGGACTCCAAGGAGCTCAGCCAGCGAGTTCTCCACCATGTAAGTCGTAACGCCTGCACTGGTTGACTTAACAACACTTGGGATTGCCATGATAGGTGATAAGGCTTCTTACTGTGGTTGTCCTATGACGCGATGTGTCTCTGAATTCGACATAAGGAGAGGAGAGGGAAAGAGAGAGGCAAGGGGAACCACCGCATAGCTAATGGGGTGCACGCATACACATGTGCGCGACTGCGAAGCGTAACCCCACAACTGAGCGCAATCACGACCGAGCGCAACACAACTAAGCGCAAAACTCCATGTAGAAAACTACAAGTGAGCGCGCGCTTAAGCGCGCGCCATAAGGATAGGAACGCCTTTTGAGCGCATAAGCTTGCCGTTGGTTAATTTAACCGATTTTTTCCAGGTTCGTTTGCTTCGACCGGGAGAGCGAGAGGCTGTATCGGGAAGTCGGGAGTTCGATCCCAAATCACGTGAATGTTTTTTACTTCTCTCGGCGCGATTCTGATTTTTGGCTCCCGTTTCGGGCCGTTTCTCAGGTATCCACTAGTGTGAAATTCTCTTCTGGGGAGATACGGTCATTGACAACGAAGGGCAGACTCCAATGTTTAACGAGACACTGATATCACACTACAGAGAAACCGAGAAGTTGAAGAAACGGGCAAGTGAGACACACACAATCACGTTGTAAAGTTGCCGGCCTTAGAGCGCCTTCGAATATTTTTCGTTGCCATCGTGGGGAAGGGCGATATGCGCCGCTTTTCGAGGCAAAGGAATGGGTGGGACCTTAGTCTGCTTTCATCGAAAGTTGCCGGTCCCACGTCGCCCGTGCCCAGCGCAAAGTGCGTTAGCCTCGCTAACACATGAAGGGCGCAGTTATTGCTCCCGATTTTTTGTAAAGGAATACCCATGAAATGGACCGTCCTTGAAGGGCCATACAAGTCTACTAAGCGCTGCTTGGCGAGTTCAGAGATATCCTCCTTCGACTTGGCCATTGAGTCCATGTAGTATATCGTCCCACCAACTCTTGCCGTGGCTGCGTAGTGGCTCTGGCTATGCAGCACAATTGGCTGAAGAAACATGCCACTCGTCGGCACTCGGTGGAATCCAGGGGAGTCTAGCAGTGGAGCAGATAGCTGAACGGCTTGCGGAGGGACCACTCTTTGTTCGCCCACTTGTCTCTAAAGCATCGTCATCCAAACATCCAGGATGCTATCAGTAATCATCTCGCCATTGGTAATCAGCCAGTCACGATCAGTGAGGTGACCTCACTGAGGTCCACAACTATTTCCGGCAAGGGATAAGACGGACCAGCAGGTATACGTATCCAGTCGAGCAACCCTTGTCCCCCTCTGGGGTTCTCAGCACCAGCGGAAGGTTCAGCGCCGATTCTGATATTCTCGTTCTCGTCTCGATCTCGTCACGGATCGAGAGCTAACGACCAGACTCGAGAGCGAGACGAGATTCATTCGTGTTCACGTTTGTCTCGGTTTCGTCCTTCTCTGTGTGTTGTGTTTTGCTTGACCTCTCGGATTCGACAAACTCGCTTGAAATCTGTCCTGGGTGCCTTCCCTGCCTCTGACCGCATCTTGGTCATATCCTCCATCAGAGGTGTGCATTTTGAAGTGTCTAGTTTCCTCCCACTTTGAGGCAGGTCCCAGTCGACGGGAGAGACCTCCATCACAGGCTGTGACGCAGGCCCGCAATCCTGCTGCCTCAGTCTACCTTACTGATTACTGGCGAGTGTTTCCGCTTGCGCCCAGTCGAGAATCGAGAACGAGATCAAGATCCGCTTGATTTTGAACGAGAAGCCTCGAGCGAGAACAGTGATAGTCGGCCACCAGCGAGACGAGATCGAGATTGCTCAGGTCATGTTTTTGCGAGCTCGGTTCAGCGGGTGCCGAAGCCTGCGGCTCAGTCGATAATGACGGCTGTTGCTGGGTTTGTGAGTGAGCTTGCCGAGTGACATCAGAAGGCTGGGTTCCACCAGGGGCATCCCCAGTTTCATGCCCCATTCCGGAGCCCGTGGGAATCAGCGCATTTGCCAGAGAGTGTTGAGTTCACTGTACAGTGTGAACGTCGTCGTCGGTTCGGGAGCAAAGCGAATATGATTGGGACCATACGTCCAGATACATGACGAAACAGAATAGTATATTGTTGGGCCCATAGAAGAGGGGCAGTTTTGAAAGTACCATCACCCGAAATATGTACAGCGGCAGTGCCGCTGCGGCACTACAAGACAATAATGAAGAAACCAGAAGTTTATCACTCCACACGAGAATTCGGTCCTTGTCATCCTTGCCAGAGTCATAGACAAGTGTAGGACGAACCTCCTGCCCGATGATAGCGTGACTGAACTCAGGTGGAATCTCAAACCCACAACGCTGCTTAGGAGCTTTCGGCAGCGGGTGGTTCTTTTCCTTGAACCTACGGAGGTTCTCCATAACCGAAGACCGCTTTGGCAACTGCTCGATGTACTGAGGAGGCGACCTTCCGGTGACGTAGTCGTGAACCTCGGCTGGTTTCTTCTCGAATGCTGACAGTTCCATGGCTTTTTTCATGGGATTCACCAGAACCACCTTCCCTGCATTCGGGCCCCACAAACATGCTCAGCCACCTAATCAATATTCTTCACAACTAACATGTTGGCCGGTCCGTTAAGATCGCCTAAGATAGTCAACCGAGCTTTGCACTTGAGGCTTCCTGCAGGAGGGTGATCAGACTTGACGCATCTCCAGCCGCTCCTCGAACGTTCGGGCTCGTTACGATCCCTCCTGAATAGGTAGCCTTTGAAAGACTTCACGTAGAGACTGAAATTCAAACATAATGTCAAGAGGATCACCCAGAGCTAGAACCAATCTTTGCGCTCAAAAGTTCTCGTGCGCAACGAATTATGCGCTGAAATATCGCAGTATTGATAAGAGTCTATAGCCATTCAGTCTTATGGCGTGCGCTCCCTGTAGCGTAAAACTCGCTCTCGCCCGACCGTTTCAAATATTGTCCGTTCAAACCATTGTTCGGATCCCGTGGATCTATCTGATCTGTCTGCACTCAATCTCCACTAAC